GTGCAAACCATGCCAGCCAGAACTGAGGAACCGAAAGAGCCAAAGAAGAAGGGATTCTTCACCTTGAAGAAGAAATAAGCTTCATACCCAATATTTAGCTAATTTGTTTGCATATTTGGACAATACATGGATTTGCTTTGTGTGGAATCTCGTCCTGTTTCAAGGAAGTAGAATGAATGGAGTTTGAATTGTGTTTAAAACACAAATTTTGAATTGTCAACAAAGACGCAGGACATTTTCTGAGCATAAGTTGTAACTTTAAAATGTCAGTAAGTTCTTTGACATGTGCATTTTCATTGTTGATGAATATAATAATATATGGGGAAAAAATGTGAAGATGCAGTTTCAGTGATGCTGCTCAGTTCATATTGAGGACCAAGTATGAAGATCATCTTTATTTCTTATTAATGGATTTTGTCATTTGGTGAACTACATGCAGAGATTCCATTCAAAGCAGGAATTACCATATCTTCCCAGATAATGAGGAAGCACATACCGGGGGGAGGGGGATTTCCCCAGTTGATAATATAACATTTAAATTTATTTGCAAGTCTTAGTCAAAAATATATTAAATAAATTTGCTTGTAAGCAGTGATCACACTTTATGCATTCCATCTATGCAAATTTGTGGTCACATGGCGCTTTCCCTGAATAATCATCGTTGTATGTTATTGCCTTATTCTGATTGTCACAGATGTTTCCTTTTATCGTTGCTCATATTCACTGTCATGAAGTATACTAGATCTGCTTGCTTGTCAGTACGACAATGTGACAGCTTTATTGAGAAAGTGTGAACAAGTTAAATGATCATTTTCAGCTTATCATGTGAAACAAGTCTTGGTTCATACTTGTTACAACCTAATGTATTCTTTTTGTTTCAATCCTTGCAGTGCATGTAGATATATTTACACTTGCTATTCCAAGATTTTAAATTCAGCTTAGATTTTTTTTTTTGAATTTTCACTTTTTTTTTAAAATGAATTTTTATTCGAGATCATAGGTTTTCTTAGGTGTTTAAATCTAGATATTTATCTCTTTATGTTTACACAGGTTTTGGTTGGGGACTTCATCTTACTTCACAGCATTCTCCGCCACCTCTACATGTTATGTACAGAACAGTTTTAAGTTATACCGGTTTCCTTTGTCCAGAGTAAATCCATCTAGCAGATTTTTAATTATTGGAAGCAAAAGTATCTATTGCTATGCCTATTTAAAATAATAGGGATTTAAATAACATGAAATTGGATATAAAAAGTATACTAATTCACTATTATACTATATATTGTAGATCTGTTAATATTTCACTGTGGTATCATTATCTGTATCATGTTTGCAACAACACAATGTAAAACTTACTGTAAACCTTTTTTTACCTTTCACATGTCGTAATTAGCCTTGTAGCTTGGTGAAGCGGTTGGTGCAATCTTCATGTAATTGTATGTAGTTTCATTCACTGTGCTTCTCCCAATCCCAAGGGATTCTGCTTTACAGGGAATTATATTTGCCATCAGAAAATTGAATAAATGACTTTACTCGACAAGATTTTTGATCTTCCATTCCCCCCACCCCATAATATGGGTAAATATAACTTAAACCTGCCCCGTGTCTTTCATGCATCCATTCGAACTGCTCTGGTGGCCTCGGATCCAGGAGGTCACAGGTTCAAACCCAGTCATACCAGACTTGTAAAAATGGTACTAACAGCTGCCTGGCTGGGAGATCAGCATTAAGAGGTTAGTGTTAGGACTTGTTGGCCAAGTGTTTGGATAATGATCCTGTGTGGGGCATCATGTTATATGTCTGGCATGATGAGCCAGTGCTAGACATCACTATTAACTATCACACTGCAGACATGGTAACAATATCACTGAAAAAGTCCAAATCACATAATACACACACTTATACATCTTTCCATCTGTATATCCATTTCTTTCTGGAGTATACCTTTCAAACTGTTAAAGGCATTTCAAACTTGCATATTAAGAACAGTGTGTAATGCCTTGAGTGGTCGAGTGGTCTAAAGCGCTCACCTCGGTCTGCATTACTTGGAGTCTAAGGCTCGGCTAATGTGGGTACATGAAAAAGCATGCCAGTAGCTTCTCGTGGGTCGGTGGTTCTTCCGGGGGTTTTCTAGGGCTCTTCCTCCACCAGTTATACTGACTACCATGTATAACCTATCTTGTGCTGTAAAATGGCATTAAACCCCACAACAACAAGGTAGAGGTACCTGTTGCTTTTAAGAATTTTCTGCATTCAGTATTTTTAGCTCAGCTGATCACAGACCAATTGTTAGCACAAGTTTGTTAACCCAATTTCTGCAATGCTATTTGGAGGATTGACTTAAACTTTTACACATGTACATTTATCCTGTGCTTGAGTTGGTACATAATGCTGACAGCTCAAAGGATGGTGAAAAAGAAACTGCAGTCTTAATAAATGGAAATCACACTACAAAACTTTCTTTGCCATATATTTCATGAATATTTTCAGCAGAAATCAAGGCAACAAATTTTGCTTTGAATTATATTAAACCAAAAATATTGTAGACTCAATCACCTCCAAATCGCAATCAGTACTTAAGTCCCACCACAATAGGATGCTGGGAAACCCACTATTGGATCTACATTCTCACTGAACACACTGGGTTGTGTACCTCTCACAGTATAATACACTGTTGGTTGCCCAGTCATGTTGGTATCAATGGTAGTACAAGAGCAGACTGAACTGCCATAATAGTTTTATGCAATTATCCGATTTAAATTGTCATCAACTGATTTTAGACCTTGCATCAAAAAGCTGTTTTGTAAGTGACAGGGATCACGGGTTGAAGCTTTCAATAACAAGCTCCCGTGGTCAAACCCTCCTTGGGCAAATTGCCAGAACCATCCCTAAGGAGTAAGTAATTGTGGCACAAGTTGGAACTGATTGTATAACCCACTCTTGCATATTAAGGGCAAAGATACACCCATGTGCGATTCTTGCAAAGAACCCTTTTCTGAAAAGTACTTTCTGATGGGACTGTTTTGAACTCCAACCTAAACACAATCATTACTGCAATATTTAGGATCTGTTTGAAAAGTCAGCTTGTCATGTATTTTAAATTTCTTGAAGAAAGTTTAAACTTATTTCAAAATATGGCCTATGTGCAGCAGCAAAAAGTGTAAACAGACCACTTTTTGGGAGTATTATTTCCTGAAAATAAAGCTCCCTATGAAAATGTACAGACAAGCAAGCTGAAACCTTTAATTGGTTTATTTTTTGTGTGCGTCAAATGTATATACTTGGGTCGTCAACGTGTGTGTGGTAAAGAAAAAGTAACTCGGCCAAAAATTTTAAAAATACCTTGCCTGAGGATCATGTCAATTTATTGTAAATCCACGAGTAACTGCTTGGGCAAGGAGAAGAAATTTCTTAATCATATCCATATCCCCTGATGAATGTTTTGCAGAATATGTGTATCAATCAGAAGATTGCAGTTTAGGTATTTGAATATATTGCTGAGTAATACATTCTATATATAATATCAATGTTTTTGTGCCTGACTTGAGAAAATATCTAAGCTGGATTTGATTGTCTAGCGTCACATCATTGTATACTAGAAGATTATTAATACATCCATCCATATCATTCACAAATGGAACATCTTCAGTATCAATCATAAACTCAACAATATCATTACCATCCTTGTCCAATAATTTTGCATTTTTATTAAAATCTTTAAACATGTGGCATTACTGATCATCTACAGTTGGTGCCACTAAATATAACTTGTCCCATTTGGGCCATCTCATTATTAGGTTAAGCAACAACTGCATCTTACCAGACCCAGATGGACCTATGATGATTGCTTTGATAAAATTCAGTAGCGCTGGATGATGTTTGACTGTTTCTTGCTTTCGTGGTGCTGAAAACTCCATGTTGTATAAGTATAATAAATATGAATTTAAATTTTGTTTGATGAAGAGCATCCATCCCCATCAGTGAATTAACAATAATAATAAAAACAAAAGAATAGAAAGCATGCACTTACAGGTAAGTGTATAAACTGGTACAAAAATATAAATTTATCTCTGATAAAATGGGTGGAAATATCGCTGTTTCACTGGGAAAATTACCAGGAGTGCCATGGGGTAAGTATCCTGATGAAAGCATCTTCCTGGATATAATCATTGTGGTCTGTAACCCAACTTGATATTTGACTTGACAATGAGACCAACCAAGACCTGGAGAGGATCCAAAAAAATGCAATCCAGTATACCATGCTCATGATTTTGCATATAACAATAAAGATTTTAAAACAACATTGTAGATGTTAAGTTGAGTCACTCATTAAATTCCATAAAAAATAAATCTCAGTACTAGCACTAGCTGCTGGTAAGATTTTTGTCTTTGTTATTACTAAGCCGGGGTTCAAACAGGAGACATATCACATCTTAGATGCTCTAATCACTTTGGCCAAAGGAGTGGTTGGATTGTAGATGCAGAATACAATAAATGGTATACGCAACTCTTTTCTTTACTGTGCGAGTTGTGGTCCATATTGATTCCGATTCCCTAGCTGTTATTTCTATAGAATCCTAAAATACAAAATTTTCTTCCTTTATTGCTCAAAGAAGTACATCAATAACTAGAGATGTTATTTACCTTTTTGACTGGTCAAGTTTTATACTTGGGTCAATGTGTAAGGGACATGTAATGTTGTTCTTACCTATTTGTCTGGTCAAGTACTGCAAAGTCTCCTCTCAAATTTTAACCTTGGTTTGTAGACGTGTGTGATTTAATTTTTAATAAAGTTTTAATAATTTTTCAGCCATATCACTACGATGTCTGCATTGGGGCAGTTTATAGTGATGTCTAGCACTAAGGCATGATACCGCTGACTACTAGCATCATGTCCCACCCAATCACATTATATTGACACCAAGCCAACCAACCCCCCAACACTTAATGCTCAGTGGCAAGCGAGGATGGTGTTAGTGCCATTTTTATAAGACTTTGGTATGACTAGGCCGGGGTTCGAACCAGCGACTACCCGTATCCTAGGCGGACGCTTTAACCACTTAGGCCACTGGAGTAGTTGGTTTGTAGATGATAAATGTGATGTGCAACTCTTTTCTCAACAGAGCGAGTTATGGTTGATAATGATTCTTATTCCTTTGCCATTTTCATAAATACAAACATATAAATATTTCTTCCTTTATTGCACTAGGAAGTAAAGCAATAACTAGAAGGGTATTCAAAAAATTATCTAAAAACAGGCATGCACACGCGTGTGCACGCATACCCACCTACCACCATGAGTATTATTTTGGACATTAATTAGAGAACATGTAATTTCGTTCTGCGGTATTTGCCTTGCAGACAGTGTCTAAAATGGCCCAATAGTTGCCCTAAATGAAATCCTAGTGGACAAATTTTAAAACAACAAATTAATAAATCCATAAATCACACAAAATGAGTGACATGAGGCAGAACTAGGGCTGTCAAGTAATTATTATTCTCTTTAGTTCAGTGAATCTAAGCCAAATAAAACATACAGTATGATACTCTAGCTATAATACAAATCAAAGGTTGGTGTCAGCCGTTCATTTAAGCCATGTGACATTTCATGAAATGGGGAGGGCTGAGTTGTCTAAAGTGCTCTCAGTTACAGATCACTGCCATCTCACCTGTCTGCATGGGTTTGAGTCTAAGATTTGGCCAATGTGGATATGTGAGAAAGCTTGACAGTAGCTTCTCATGGGTCGGTGGTTCTTTCCATGAATTTCCCGGTTTCTTCGCCCACCATTACAGGGTTTCTGCAGGTCATGGAATCCTGGAAAAGTTTTGGAATTTAAAAAATAAATTTCAAGGGCCTTGAAAAGTTATGGAATTTGTCAAAACCTTGCAAAGTTTTGGAAAAGTCATGGAATTTTTGACAATGGAGTTAAAGAAATTGATTACTTCAAATTTCATAGAGCACTGATTACCGATTAAATAAAATGATAAAATTACTATCAATAAATGGTTTCAATTCATATAACAAGAGTAAGTTCCCCTAATGGAAGTATCGCATCATTTCTAGTGTAGTTCACTGAAAAAAAAGCAACTGGAAAGTAATGTGTTTTGTTAATATTGTCAATAAGAACATACAAAGACTGCATAGGATTGTTTCCTTTTTTCTTTTGAATACAAATTACATTGAACATTGGATTATGACAAAAATTACTACATAAAGTCAAAGTGTGCAAGCCCAGGTAAATTTAAATGAACATATTAAAAATATTTGTTGTTAACTTTGTTAATTTAGATTGAAAGATGTCATTCTTTATGTTCATTTACTTGACAATGCAAAATAGCGCAGTCCTTGAGTTTTATGAAATGGCCCTGGAAAAGTTTTGGACAAGTCATGGAATTTGTTTTTGTTAAGTGTGCAGGAACCCTGCCATTAATACTGGCTGCCATGTATAGCCTGTCGTGTGCTGAAAAATGGCATTAAGCCCTACAACAACAACAATATGAATACAGGTCCGTGTCAGCCTTTCATTTGAACCATGTGACATTTCATGAATACATGTATGTTTCTGGGCATAATACTGTATAATATTTGTGATTTTTATCACTGACTGTACATGTTCATACACATAACTTGACAGTTCAGACCTTGATATAATATTGTATGTAACACGATCTGCCAGCTCTTGGTATCAAACCCAGTACTGTGGAGGTGCAAAGGGATATGGCTGATAGCGATATTAATATACAATGGAGAGCTGAGATAAAATACAAACACAATAGAAAGTAGATAGCTTCGTTTTACTATTCATACAAATATGTAATTTATGTACACCTCGAAAGTCTGAACAAAATTTCCTGTATAAATACCTATAAAAACTATATGATAAATGCTGACTTTTCTTACTGATTGGAAAACCTTTACAACTGTACAGAGTTAGGTCAACAATGTAACAATTAAAATAAGTCAATCCTCAAATTATGCTAAAATTACAATCAAATGTAACACTCTTGCAAAATTCATTGTTTGTGTTTGTGGATATGATGAGCTTTAATGAAAAATATGGAAATGACTGAAAATCTCATGAACCCTGCCTGTTCATTTATCATTCATCTTAGATCTGATGTACACAGTTGCTCTGACTAATAAATACATGGCAATGAAAACACAAGAATAGCTGCATGGCATATTTTAATTTTCAATTATACACCATTATTTTCCTTCTGTTTTGAAACTGGCACATAAGCATAATGGAACTGGTTTCTATCCCTACAAGAAATTATCATACATTACATATAAAAATTAGCTATAGTGCCATAAAATGGCTTTCATGGTATTACCTTAGTTTGGAGCACTGCAAATGCACTATATGCTAATGACAGTTTAACTCAAAAGTTAAAATATTCAACAGATGAGTGTTTAATTACTGCCAGTAACACATAATCCACAGAATTCAAAATTGGCAATTGTACATAAATATTATTATGGGATTTATACAATGTGAATAATGTTAACAAGATTTCATGCAAGAAAAAATATTGCACAATTCAACTGTTAACAAAAAAAATTTTAAAACACTTAAACATCACTATAGAAAGAATAAAAGTATCTTTCAGTTAATAAAGATCTCTTGGTTAAAAATAATAAGTATTACTGATAATGAATATAACCTGTGTAAAAATGCTCTTTGTCTGTGCTAAAATTGTCTGCATTTAGAGATATAATGCCATGTTATGTGTTCCCGAGAAATAAACAAAAAATTAACCCAAAAAGGCAAATACATTTTAACCCCAGTAGAGACTGGGTTAATGGTTACATTTTTTCAATTTTATAAATTACTTTCTCCTACTCTGTGACTAAGAAGACTGACTTTCTATTTTTTTACCTTCAATGTAACATCTGTTGATACTAAGCCTGCCTAGTGACAAAAAGCACCAATTAACAAAACTTTATTAACAGTAGATCATCACAATACAATTTTGTTTCAGGAACTGTTCCGCTTTTGTTACAACCCTCATTAGACCTGAAAATTGTACTTTTTTATGAAAATTCCTTTTGCATCTTAACATGAACTGGGAGGCGTGCATTATTGATAAATGATCCGAAAACATTCTATCAGTTTGGATGAGTGAAAAAGTTGTTAGTTAATACATATATTGGTTAATTAAGGACTTTTAGGGTACAGAACACAATCAGAATAGTTCTGCAATCAGTTGATATACAGCAGGGAATTATTGTGATAAACTAGCAAAGAACATACAAAAGGGATTGATTCTGCCACTGGCACTCCATCTCATGGTTTTAGGGTTTTGATGAGGACCTGTTAATACTGGCAGCCACAGGTCCACATGACAACTTATATTTTCTTAAGTCACCATTAAATTTGATTAAGAGAGCTAGTTGATTTTCTGCAAGGCCAGTTGACTTTAATGTTAGCCGTCCCTGCTGGCCAATGAAAGAAATATCTACTAAGTTCATCACTAAAAAATTAACAGATTTACTAGATATGGTATTTTATTGAAACCAGAATTTGAAAAGTTAAAATTGCACAATTTGCTAAAATTCCTGCCTATGAAGTTTGACTGCTATATTTAATAACCTAACTCGTCTTATTTGTTTTACACATGAAGTTTTAATATCAGCAATTTACTGCTAGGATAAAAGTGTTCCAGGTTCAGAATATTTATAATGAAAATATTCATTAGTCTTTTGTTAAACCTGTGTGTACTCCTCCATTTATACAATAGGCAAGAAATTCTAAACTTACTGATATCTGAGAAATATCTTTAACTCTCTTTTGAAAACATTTTTTTTTCTTAACCATTACATCAAAGTGTCTATTACTGTATCAACTGACCAAGTGGCAAAGTGCAGTGTACTATAAAAAGAAAGTGTTACCTAAATGAATTGATGCATACAGGCCTGCTTGTAAATATTTAGTAGTGTAGTTCACATTCAGTTTAAAATAATTTGAACCATTTTACCTTTTTGAGTAATCTTGAAAACTTCATTGATCCTAAGTCACTGAAGCTGTGTGGCTGACCCTCCTCAACCTCAATATCTACTAGTTTGTTTCTTCATCTACATAACTAATTCATCTAAATTTCATAAATTAAAAACATTCAATCTTGCTTATATCGACATCAGGGCCAATATTTAACTTCCTGAAGCCTTCGCAGTTATAATTTGACCATTCAAACTCAAAATATTATGAATGAAATTGGCAGCTGCCATTTTGTAGATTGCAGAATCTGACAAGTTATAAATAACAGAATAAGACTAGATCTTAAATAGCAACCATGTGGTCATTAAGAAAATGCTTAGTTTTTAATAGGTGGTTTTCGCTGAAGGTGGTACTACAAAAAAATGTTAAAAATGGTTGATATTTACTGTAGGTGTCAAAATCTTCTTCCATGCTGATGTGCAAAGGCATCCAATCACACTTGCATGTGAATCAGAAGAAAGCATCAAACAGCACTTCCATGATAATGTGGTACAGGCATCCAATAATGATTATACAAGATAAAAGGTTAATGGAAGTCAAATTCTGCATATATGTTTATATATTTAAATTCTATCTAATTCATTAAACTTGGTGTCTTTTAATCATTTTCTGTGAGAATTCAACACAGAAAAGGTCAAAATTGATTCATAACTTTCTGCAAAAGAACAACACATTGAAGTTTCTTAAAACTGCCTTTTTAACATCCAAACTAGCATAAATACAAAACCAAGACCAAATAATCTAATCACGATCTCCAAAAAATTGCTTTAGATCATAAATATAGAGAAAAGCGTGGATCCTGATCTGTGAAAGCATTCTGTAAGGTCCTATTTGTGTATGGCATAAAAAAAAGTATAAATGTAATAATCCAAATGTTATCTCACTGTTAATGGAAATTACTATGTCAAAGTAAAATAATCAGACACTATTTTTTTAAAGACGAAGATCAAAAGAAGAACTTGTGTCATTCCATTTTCTCAATCAAGGATTCAACAAGTGAAACTGACCTAAACCTATCATTCTTTGTTACCTTAGGGAAATCAATTTCAGGATAGCAGATTTTTAAAAACTACC